GCCACCCACCCCTCGATTGCCGTGCCGGCCTTCATAGGTGCTCGCTAACAGCACTTGCCCAACAGTCTGTTAAGTCTACACATTATCTGTGTGTGTACACGCATTTGTGTATGTGGATAGTAGGCCATTGGCATAGCTGTTAAATCATTATGGAAATTCGATTGACCCAGGTTAGTTTTATAACGATTGATATGTGATCACAGCCTGGGCTTGTGAAGACTGTTAAGCCTAACATGAGTACTTGGTGTGCTTTATCAACATCAACACTTGGCGGGGGGACAAAGGTGGCCGAGTGTTTGGTGCTTGCCAAACCGTGTACCGTGATTGCCTTAATAGGTACTCGCTAACTGCATTTGCCCTGCAGTCAATGGGCTCGCTGTAGTGGGCAGCAAAGTGGTCGCATAACACACAAAAAAATCCCCACATAATAGACTCACATTTTAATCCGTGAGCATCCAGAGCAGCTGCTTCTATTGTGGGACCCTTTTAGGTAGACTCAGCCTCAAAGTAATTTACCTGGTGTCTTGTCAACACCGGTGATGAAGGGACTCGGGGTTGGGTTTGGTGCTCATGGCCTCACGGCTTCTTGTAATATGTTGACCACATCGGTGCTGACTAATAACACCCCCCCCCCCCCCCCCCATCAGTCTCATCGAGCTCAAAGTTTGACCATTGTGCAGTGTGTCCTCAAAATACTGAGCTTGCAGAAGGGTGAAGAACTCCAGTACAGGATTTACATTTTATCAACAAAACCACTATTTCCATTTAGCCCATCTACAGAATATTTAGTACGTTTACAGATTAAAAGTGTAAAAAGCAAGATGAAAGACAAGTAAAAGCACGCCACAAAAAACCACGATCCATTGCTGCAGCAGTTGTGACTGCACAGGTACTAAAGCGGGACTGCCTGGCACGTGACGTGTCTGCGCAGCATGGGGACGCTGTGAACAACGCGTCGGTATTGCTTTATTTGTGAACTAACATTTTTGAGCTTCAGGATTGCTATTTTTTTATTTTTATAGCTGCCCCCCACATACCCCCCCTTCCAAAAATATATATATAATCCTGTAATGTATATGCAGCACGTTATTATCCTCCCCATTTATTTTAAAGGACACCCTATGTAAAAACATTTTTTGTCATACGCCATTGGCAGTAAGCACATGAACGAGACCCACGACATTCCCACAACATTCGTCAATAACACTGCCCTAAAAAGGAAAGATAGATTAGGTGACATATTGGACAATGGCCCGTTTTCATAGTGTGTACTTTTACTTTCTCACAGCAAAAACACTTGTGCAGATAATTGTTTTGGCATTTTAAAATACAACTTGTATCCTTTATGCTCGAGTGCCTTGACAAGGTGACGACTTATTCACGCATGCACTTCACTGCGTTAGAATAATGTCACGTTGTTTGCAAAAAGCGTCGTCAAGGTGACCCTCTGAAAGGCTAACAAATACCGCTAAGGGCCTGATGAATTTCTCTATTGCATTGCCAGTGCAGGACGGCCCAAATTTTATGCACCATTTAAGGCTTCAATTCGAATGGGATGACCTGTGTTTGATTCATTTTTTCCCCCACCCGAAAAAAAATGGCGCAAGTCAGATGGAGGTTGCGCATTTTGTTTCGTTCGCTGCACAACGCACTTGACCTGTCACCGCCGCACGCAAATTTGTCCTCAAGTATAGATTCGTGAATAATGGAACCTTGGAGCATTTCGCGAGAGAGGGCTCCAAACATTTGTTTTATGTTTTGAGATGCGCTTGGAGAGGAAAATAATAATAAAAATGCCGCAACAAAGGTCTGCTTGTAATATCTGTGCGCATCATGACCAAGGCCGCTGTAAGATTTGGCAACGTAAGTAATGTGCGGTCACATGTTGTGCGATGTGACAAATCTTTGGCAAGCTCTGTATTACAGTCATTAACTCCCTCGCCCATACCACCACCGCACTCTTGCAGAACACTGGCAAGACGTTTAATTTATCGCAGGGGAGCCTGTACTTATTTTTCCTAAACGCGATTCATAACCGACTGCAGCAGAATGATGCATCACCACGTTGCTTTTGGCTTGCGTTGTCATTAACGTCGTTATTTTAAAGCCCCGTTACCTTGAGGGTTTTTTGTGTTTCGGCAAGAATTGTATACGGCTATTTAGGCGGCAGCTGGAAGAATGCGGTGATTGCTAGGTCGGTGAATGGGTTAACCTTCACCCTGTCGTGTGCCCATTCTTTGTGCCGGTCTCAGCAGCTTAGACAATCTCCGATAAATACTTTATCCATCATCATCACTTGTGCCTGTTTTTTTTCTTCATTGCCTGCACAATTATTCATTAATTGGAAATATGTTAAGTGCCCTACTATTTATGACAGGATTTAATTGACTAAGTTCATTAGAAGCGTGAAATATAATTGGATTCTCACAAAACACAGTTGCTTGTGTGTTTTTTTTGTTTTGTTTTTCATATTTTACTTGAAGTGGATTTGAATGGAGGCGGTAATGTGTTTGCACAAGAAGCCTCGCCTTTGTTCCTCGTTTCGATTTTAGTGCTCTCTTTGCCACTGGGCTAACTTAACATTGATTAGTAATGTTCATCTTCAAAACGAACAAAAATCAAACCCTCCACATCTACTGTCCAATCATGGCTTTTAAGTGGAGCAGCGCATGCAAGCCATTTGCAACCAACACAGTTAACCCTTTTTCCACCCCAGCCACACAAAGCCATTTTCCACGTAACTTTGAAACTTAGGCTGCGCACTACCCATTTAACACGCTGACAATTGCTACCCAGCGTTCATTTCAGTCCAACTCGTAATGGGAGAGGAAGTTCAATCCACACACCTTTTCTTTGCTTTTTTTTGATTACCTACATATACAGACAGGTGCCTTCTTTCTTTTTGGGGCGTGATGCAGCACAGAGTGGGGTTAAACTCAATCCGAACCCAGCTTCCCTTCATGTTATTGCTTGTCCTTATTCACTCTGCTGTCCTCGCTTGCGATATGAGCAGGCCCTATACGTTATTGAAAAAATATTGGCCGGATTAGACCTAATGCCGTTTTTCTTCACCCGCGCCAAAGCCACGGCTGTGAAAAACAGCGGAAATGCAGCCTGCCGCACCAGGTGATTTATGTTCTCCAGGGAACTGGCTGAGTTTTATGGAGCCTGTATATTAACCCTTTAGGAGTGCGCGTCCCTGTGCCACCTACAGCCGCTCCGTCCCACTCGCACGACCGACCGTGGGCTCGTTTTGACCCGATGCTGAGCCCTGCTCTTCGGCAAGCGAAGGTCGATAGCTGCCCGCCGGGAGGGACGTCGAACGAGAGACGTGATTAAGGCCACAAGCTCGCACCCCAGCATGCAAAATTGCACGGGATGGCGACAGAAAAATAACACGATGTAAAATGTTTTGACGAACGCGCCTTCCGCGAGCTGGGGATGTGTTTGGGCCGCGGCGAGCTTTGGGTGGCGTGGACCGGCTTGTCCCTCGCCACTGCCAAAAGATTAAATTCACGGAGCACAGGATGGAAATCTGTCTCGGAGGTCAGTTCGGAGCTGAGTAAATGTTGTTTGCCGAAGCTTTAATCCGTTTTCGCCGCGTTCCCGCGAGGAAAGTGAAGAGCCTACAGAGCTTTGTGCAGAGGATTTCACTTTAATACCAAGTTGTCTTTCTCGTACAATTTATAAGCACACAATTCCTCCAGGAGAGGGAGATTTATTAGAAGTTGGATTCTTTTCGTGGGAAAGGTAACAAAAGTAGTGAGATGAGGCATCGGTGGAATTGCTTGCCTGATAGCTGCGCAATAGTGCTTTTGTGAAAGGTGGTGCGTAGGTGTGCGAGTGTGTGTACCAGCGTGTGAAGTGTACGGCCTGCTGTGTATCCTGACAGAGCGGGCTGTGGAGTCGTCAGCTGCCTGTTACGGTCAATTTAAACGTGATTGGTTGTGAGTAGGGCACCATTAAAACATGCTTTTGGGTGCTGGGAGTTGGAACGGCAATAAAACAAATAAATGAACCCTCTCACTCAAGCCTCAACATTTACAGACAAAATCAAAGCTCCACACGTTTAGCTCTATATACCAAAGGGGGAGGTTCTGTCAGTGAGCGCCTATTAAGACTGGCAAGACACTAGGGGGCGATGTGGCCAGAACCACAAATGCCCAGCAACTGTTAAATCCCCAATATGTAGCAGGTACTCATTTAAGGTGGTGTTCACCTAAAGAAAAGGCCATTGTGTTAATAATGTTGTTCATCATGGCCAGGAACTGGACCTGAGCTGACATGTTTGTAACACAGCGCATGAGATACTCTAAACTCCACTCACACATGAAATGCTGCACAATAAAATCGCATTCACAGGAAAAAACCCCAGTAAAATCAGTATCTGTATACACGAGCGTCCAAATTCCAGCAGTAAGTAGCACGATGGGACAATGTTGTTTGGAATGAGTTGTTGCTCCGATAAGATGTAAAAAGGGAGAGCAGTAGTGTGTGGGTGGGTGCGAGGGAGGAGGAGGAGAAAAGAAATCACAATAAGAGATGAAAACATTGATTTGGACTGCTTAGAAAACTCCCGTGTAAGTTATGTATGCACCAGAGCACAATCAATAGCGTACCAATTACGGCCATCGAAAAAATAACTGCTGCTTTGGCATTTACTCATGTGCGTCTGATGGAGTGTGCCTCTGTATTGGCTGCAGGAATCCTGAGCAGAAGGAATACAACTTTGGCAAGCATTCTAGCCAGCGGGGCCAATTCCTGTTAAAACAGAGCTTTCGATAAACTAATGCAATCCACCCATGGGCAAGCTTTTAAAATCTTCCCCAAGTATATATTTTTTATACAAAAATGTGTCTCGGAGCAACAAGCTTTGGGGGAGGCGTGGGGCCAGACTCGGAATTGGAAATTGCGAATTCACAAGTGTCTTGGTCTTGTATGGTTAATAATTAAGCCGTAAGTGCCAATAACGGCTAATGATTTTTTCATTTTCCCCGCAGCGTGCCTCTCACTCCCAAGTCGGAGAAGAAGATGTCTGTGGTCTTAGGAGACATAACCAGGTGAGCCATGCAACCGTGCTTTTGGGGGGGAAAAACATGATTTTTGGAAATTGTGCAACAGCATGTGAATCTTTCTCATGCGATGCATTGTTCACAAAAGCAGTTGTCCAACGCATAACCGTATCTATTGAACTAAAATCAAGAAGGCTGATGTCTGTTTGGTCTCATAGGCTGACCGTAATAAGGAGGCATTCCAATCTAATGAGCAAGCATCTGCTTTGGAGTTGAACTGAATCGCATGAGCTTGTAAAAGTTTTCTTTCATGATGTTCTTCACTATTATGAAAATTATAATGTTGACCTCGTGATGCAAACCACATTGTTTCGGCCATCAATCTGCAGACAGGTCCATGCTTTGCGGATTAACTTAAAATACCTACGATAATCACCCAGGAATGTCTGTCCTTAACGCTCGTGACGTCACTCCACGTCGACCATCCCCCCTCATTAATTATCATGAACGGGTTATGTCTGCCACATGGACCCCCCCCCCCCCCCCATTCATAATAATTAGTGGCTGACGTCACTCCACATTGGGGGCCGAGGCGCCTCCTCCCCCCTCCTTGGCGTCAACTTACAACCCTCACTACAAAGGCAGAACCCTCACGTCACGCGATCTCCGTGACGCTATTGAGACATCGAAGTAAAAAGGACGTCGTGACGAACAAGGGATTATAACCTTACAATGAAATAGGTCTGTGTCACTGCGCCCTTACAAATTGCACACATATTCATGCAATGACTATCACGTCGCGGTCTGCTTTTCGCTTGCAAGTTTCAGATTTACTGCAATACCACCCGTCCATGGACCTATTAATCAACAAAACACATCACATGCAAACACATATTGTGACGTGTGGTATATAAATACCTCAAATGTAACACATTTTGCTAACACTGAATACACATTGGTTTATTGGTATTACGTATATGCTTGTTTAACCAGGAAAGTCTCACTGACTCTGAAGACTCTTTTTCAAGAGGGTCCTGCCATGTTTTCACAGTAGGGGGCCGATGTTGCTCTGTGTAATCCCAATAAAAAATAAGGAAAGAAAATGTCACGTTTCTATAAACCGCAACTCATTTTGATCTGTCATGTATCCAAGTTACCATACAGAGCAGATGACTCAAATAAACAACCCCATAAATGAATTGTTCTGATATATACTTGGGCTGTTATGTTTAGGCTGTCTGACATGAGTTTTACGATTTGTTAACGGGTCAAAATCCGAGTATCACAGAAGCAATGTAGTGACATCATTTCAGTGCCGTTACATTAATGATAATAATATATTGGACTTGTGCACTGAGTTCAGTGGAGCATTGCTGACTAACTTTAAAAGTATTATTTTCTCCGTAGCAATGTTAAACTTCTCCTCTAACAAATTGGGATACACAGCCCAGATCTGCATCTGTGAAGTAAGAGCTGTTTTAGGCTGCATCTTACCTTAACTGGGTGCCACGGTGACGAGATGGTAACTACCTCGCCTGGTATACAGGAGGTCGTGGATTTGACCCCGACCCTGACTCATGTATATTTGGAGTTTGCATGTTCTCCCCGTGGTCTCGTGGATGTTTCTCCAGGTCCTCCGGTTTTTCCCTCCACATTTGGAAACATGCGTTTAGAGTATTTGGCTGCTAGAAATTTCCACGTGATAAGCCACTTAATTGCGGTATCATTTGTGGACAGGTCGCTTATAAAAAATACCTATGTCGCTTAGTGGGCCTCACCTGATGAAATAAAAAATAGTTTAAAACCCGATTGGCTTTCCAGTGCGTGAATTGCATCCTTAAAGATAACACCGACTTGGTTGTTCGACATTGCCAGGTTGTCAATACCTCCGATAAAGACAAGTTGTTTTGCACTAAAGGCCATTGCTCTTACATACATTGTAACAGTACCAGTGAGTTTCAACGTTTCCTTGAGTGGAAAAAAAAAATCAAAATTCTTAAATATTAAAGTAAATGGCTGGCTTAGGCAGGTAAGCCTCAGACTCTGGGTTCTTGCCCAAGGGCTGACAAGGTGTGAAACAAATAAACAAATTATGATGAATGTAGCCTCTGTGAGGGGGTTGGGGGGGGGAGTTGGGGTGACATCACCATGCAGAGCCCAGTTCAATGCTGTGGGATGAGGGTTAAAGTCATCCTGCAGGTATGTGTGGTGACGTCACCACCTACCGCACTCGTGAACTTGCCCCAGCCAGGAATCCAGCCACGTGTCCATCCAGCAATACTTTTTTTTCTAATATGGTATGATATGACGTATATGTATGATAGTAATGCTCAAGCATTTGTGCGGGATACACAGCCAGGATGGAGGGTTGTTGGGTGGGGGTAGGCGTGATGTCAGCGCGACGCACGGATCTGGCTCGCGGGTGATATCATCACAACTGCCAGGAATCCAGGCAGGCAGGAATCCAGACGGCAAAGCATTTTTTTCTAATATAATGTGAATTCAATACGTTTAATTCTCCCCTGCAGTACATGAAAGAAAATTAAATAATAAAGTCTCTATTTTTGTAGACAACCACTGTTGGCTTCCCAAAAAGTGCTCCTTAATTTATTCATCCCAGAGAAACGATCGGGGCGAGTTGAACCCCGACCGGCATTTGTACTCGCAACTCTCTGATTCTGAGGCGGGTGCACTTACCAACGCGCAGAGTGTCTTCTTATTGGGAGAGCTCTCCCTGCCATGGGATTTTTGAATTTCCACCATTGATTCAGGACATTCAACAGAAGTGAGGGACACCCAACACCTGCATTGAGCAGAGACATTGACCATCATTTATTGTGGATTGGCTCCCTGTTCAATTTTCAATCTCTGCTGTCTGCAGAATAATTTAGCATGAATGAAAGCGGGCACTGCATCTGGCTCACAGCATTAGACATTGCACACATCACGTCATCCGTGAAGGCATTTCCATGCTGGCTTCCCGTGTCACATGCCAAGCACTAATATTGCCCGTAATTGATGCGGTGCACAGCGGTGAGGGCTCGTTAAGGGAATAATAAACGGGGCTACAAGGGGGCCGCTTGTGTGAACTGCCCGCCGTTCTTTTATGGGATGCTAAACGATTGTCTTCCGATCCCATAAAGCAGAGCGTCCTTGCCAATGATTAAGGGAACGTCTAATGCACTGCCAGGGCTGAATAAGGACAATTTATATTTTCACTTTGGAATTGCCATAAGTAATTATATGGTGCTGACTTTTATTAATCTGTCCATATTGTAATTAAAACGCACGTGTAAAAAGAGGCTGGTAGTTTCAGCCCAGGCACCAATAACTGCACAAAAACCTCGTGCTAAATTTGGTTTCCCATTTTAAATTGGAAAATTCCAGCTTTGAGAATATAAAAAAATAGCTCCCCCTACCATGCAATGGACAGCTCTATCGCATTGGTCTGGGGAAAGCGCAGCACCCATTGTGTGGGTAAGATACGATTGAAGGGACCTCAAAACTTGTTCTGTCATTACCTTCCAGAAGCCATTCTCTTTATCAAGTCCTGATGCACGGCTTATAGGGAGAGTTAGAAATGGAGAATTGCACGGGGCTTCGGGCAGATCATGGAGGACAGCTTATGTGTTACGAGTTAACAGATCAGGTTGACGGTCAGATGCACTACCGACACAACCATTTTGATCCCCTGTTCAGCCCACATACTGTAATGGAAAATTATACTGGTAGGAACCTCCTGGTTACACCAGCCCACAGAGGATTATTGTGTCCGTCGTGCAGGGAGGGGCTGGGTGGGGAGGGAGGGGTTGGGTGGGGAGGGAGGGGTTGGGTGGGGAGGGAGGGGCTGGGTGGGGAGGGGGAGGGTGGGGCTGGGTGGGGAGGGGCTGGATGGGGAGGGTGGGGAGGGGCTGGGTGGGGAGGGTGGGGCTGGGTGGGGGGGTGGGAGGGGTGAGGCTGGGTGGGGAGGGGCTGGTCACCCCGTGGTGCCCTTATAAAACTCAACGTTTAACCTACTCACGCCGGCTTGTGCCCGCCCTCACAGTCGGCCATATTTGCGGAATACACCACGCCGCCGTTGACCCTGGCCATTGACCGAGCAACCCAACGTTCCTACCAGCTCCCTCCGCAGGAATGTGTTATTTGTGATCACCTATTCAGGGACTCGCTCACAGCATAATACAGGAGAGTTGGGTGTGGCTAGCACCATGCCTGTTCACCTTTGTCTCCCTACTGCTGTTGTGTTACACACTCCACTACTAATTTTAAGGCTGAATTGACTTAGAGGAGGCCCATGGAGAGGCCCAAGACCAGGTCAGATATTCCCCACCAATGTTAGCCATGATCGCGAATCGAACTCGGGATGCTCAGTTCATAGTGTAGTATGTTAACCACTGCTCTACCTCTACCACGCAATACGTGCAAATACACAGCAATACATAAAACGCGTATACGTACAATCACGTGTGTGCCCATCGCGCCTATTCGTTCGCGTGTGCACTAGTGCGCGGGGGGCACATATGGTGCGACAGACTCGCAGGAGGGGTGGGGGTGGGCGGGGTGGGCGGATGGCCGAGCGGGCGAGTGTGAATGAGTGTTGCTGCTGCTGTGCTTTGCCGTGGGCAGGCTGACGAGCGAGGATGCCGCGTGGGAACAGCTCGTCGCAGAGTACCAGGGCCGCGCCGAGGAGACCTCCAGGTGAGCCCTGCACACGACAGCTCGCCACCCCTCCCACCGCCCCCGCACACCCCCCCCCCCCTTGCCCGTTGCAGAACGCCTTTCTCCCCGAGCCTCCCCCTCTGCCGCCCGTTGTCTCCCAGAGTCCCCTTCAGCCCTTGCCATCTGCCCAACGTCTGTGCAACACTCGTGCTAAGCCGGCATCGTGTTTTACAGTTTTAGTTTCTGCGATGGGAAAAAAACATCATCTTGTGACACTAACGCGGAACGGCCCCTGTGTGAATAGCAGGAAGATGACCCCGTTATTGTAAGAGCTGCTGGTTTGCTGTAATGTAGCAAAATGCGTGTGCATACTCAGTCTTACAGACACGTCAATGATGTAACGGATATAGCAATATAGCAATTGGCGGTTTAATATATTTGTTTAAAAGTGTGTTTGCACATAGTTTGGCACTTTAGCTTTTTATTCGCTTTGTTTTCAACTGTTTACACATTTGGCATCAGCTATAAATGTTTTATATTTCAATGTATTGTAATAAATTAATTAATGGTTTTTCTCTTCTATTTTAGATAATAGTATATTACAACACTACGTCAGTGTACTGCTTTGTTTGTACATATTTCACGCTGGTCAGTGTGGGCTGGCCGAGAATGAAACTCATGTGGTAGTGCAGTGCACAGACCACTCCTCGAATGCTCCACCCTCTATTTCTTCTGACGTCACCGCCACTCCGGCCAATTCCATAACGTCACTATTATTCCCATCTCATGCACTCGCACAGATAACAAATATGCCCACTTTTATTGAATTACTTTAAACGCCACCGATCTACAGCACAATTATAGCATATAGTTTGCTATGAGCACTGCACCTGTCAGATGAAAATGGTACAACCTGGGACATCTGTTTGAGAATAGCCAGGGTTGAGAAGTTTTCGGGATGCTGGAGATATATTTTCTCTTAAGAACTGGGGAACCACAACTCCAGACTTGTTACCATATCATTTCACAGATGTGGTGCGCGTACAAAACGATTTGTTAAAATATTTTTTTTTTACGTAACTATGATTGTTTTTAATCATTGTCTGTGCAAGTATATGAGATAGGAGAATAGATTCTGACAGTTTGGATTTGGTGCTGGTGGTGGCAGTGACATTGTAAAACAATATACAGTAAACCTTGGATTGCGAGCATAATTCGTTCTGGAAACGTGCTTGTAATCCAAAGCACTCGTATATCAAAGCGAATTTCCCCATAAGAAATAATGGAAACTCGGATGATTCGTTCCACAACCCAAAAATATTCATGTAAAAATTATTAGTACAAAATACCTTTTTATATTTTTATTATTTAAATTTAATATAAAGTAATCAAATGTATAAATTACATTTAATCGTGGCTGGTGTGAGGGAGACGAGAGAGAGGAGAGGAGGGTTGTTGTGTAAGACGACTTTCACTTGCAGTACAGTTACTAAAGAACAGTCACTAAACTTGGATACAAAATAAAAATAAATGCTTTACGCGCACACACACGTGGTCACAACACTATAGTAAACAGTATACGCTCGCACGGATGTTGACTATACGAGACCGAGCATGGGAGACGATTACCCACAATCCCGCAGCGAGAGAGAGAAGAACCATCGGCTTAATTGTGATCACGTGACGCTCGGCAGACAAAGCGTATACTGTACGTACTACTCGTATTGCAAGAAAATGTTGCTCGTCTTGCAAAACACTCGCAGACCAAGTTACTTGCAATCTAAGGTTTTACTGTATATTTTTTAAGTAGTCTAAAATCATTTTTTTGTGTTGAATCTGTAAGTAGGTAAATGACATTCGTTATACTATTTTAACGTCGGTTGAGGTAAGAAGTCTGACAAGAGTGGCCTTGGATAAATGGCACAAATAAAAACAAACAGAAGAATATAAGGAGTGAAATTGGAATAAATCAGTGCCAAAAAAAGGTAGGGAACAAAAACAAGACATTAAATGATAAAGCAGTAACTTAAATAAGTGTATAGCAGACTCTAAAAATAACAAGTGCCTGGGATATCAGTGCTGATATTTCATACTTTAATGTTGATGGCTTTAACTCAAAATTCAAGTTGCTCAGGGCTGTTCATTTGCATACTTATGGCCAAATTCACACCTTTATGAAATGGACTAAAGTAATCACCTAAGGAGGGTTGTTAAAATCTTTTCTTTTCCATTACCGGTAACCACATGCAAAAAAAAAACCATTAAAGAAAACGATTACCAGTTTGCCACATGTATAGAAAAATATCGAGAACAATGAACCTAAATTTTTTCCGTTTTAACTGAGAAAGAAAGAAAACAGCCTATGGGGTAATGACCAGCACACTGCACTCGCAATCCAGAGCTCGCAATGGCTATCGTCACAGATGCTGGGTTGAACTTGGTGAGCTGGAACACCTGAGCAATGGCAACCTCCTCGGTGGTTACCAGACAGTCTTTGTGGCTCAAGGGCATGAAGGGCTCCTATGTCATTGAAGGCCCTCTCGTACACACCTCCAGGTGGAAGGAAAGTTGCTTTTCGATTTAAAGCTTTCGTGACTGCAGGGATTCATCTTCTTGGTTCTTTCGGTAAAGTCACGTAGAAGGGAAGTAATAAAATAATAAAAATAAAACATTATAAAATAAAATAATTATTTTATTTTATTATGTTTTATTTAAAATAATTATTTTATTTTATTATGTTTATATTTTTATTATTTTATTACTTCCCTTCTACGTGACTTTACCGAAAGAACCAAGAAGAGGAAAGTTGCTGTTCAGAAAAGTGGCACACGCCACGTTGGAACAGCATAAGGGAAAAAAAAGCGGAATGAAGAGATGCTTATCGGTCCCAACAAACGTCCCTTTCGGTCCCTTCGGGGTAATGGAAACAACGGTGCTGGCAGATCCCAGAAGCGCACGTCGGATGCAGTAGACTGCCTGGAAGACTGGGAAGGCCCACAGGGGGAAGAGGCCCGAGAAAGTGGCCGCTCTTCCCATGGGTGGAGGCGACAAGAGATTCCAGCCCGCCTCCCTCGAGACATCCAAGCCCGCCTCCCTCATGTAATGAAGTGTGGGGGGCGGGGGCAGGGGGCGGCGAGTGCTGGTCCTGGCACCCAACAGACTGGTGCAGTTTGCCGCAATCTGGGAGAGGACCACTCGGGAGGAGTGGGTCTCGGAGTATAATCAGGCTTTGATACGGGCTGGAATTCTCCACATCCGTCCCAGAGCCTGTCTGGGTAGAATCGCAACTTCCGCTGCACCCAAGCATAAAAGGGGAGACTTATTAGCAGAGATGTCGACACTCCTGGAGATAGGGGCCTATAAGGGAAGTCTCGATGGGGAAGCAGGATTTGGGAATCTACTCATGATTCTTTACGGTCCCCAAACCATGTGGGGGTTTACGGAGCTATCCTGGATCTCAGCAGGTTCAACAGATTGATCATATCGCCGTTTCAAACTCGATTATTGTTTGCATCGATCGAGCGCAAAGGCATTCGAGCTACGTGACTGGATGGAATCGGTGGACTTGGAAGACGCATCTGCACGTGAAGATCTTCAAAAGCAACCGCAAATTCTAGCGCTTCAGTGTCACAGGGAGATGTGTGGAATTTCAGGTTCTTCTGTCCGGACTCTCATCTCTGCCCACCTATGAAAGGACGGCATCCACACGTAACCCGTACGTAGACGACCTCTTAATAAGAGTGGGGTCCGAGGAGGTCATCGGAAGATCCGTGCCCAAAACGGCACGGACCTTGCAGGAGCACAGGTTCGCTTTGAACGGCCCAAAGCACGGTCTACGACCGGCAGTGAGGTTGAAACGTGGGGGTTGTGATTGACATGACCATGGCAAGGGTTTCTCCTACAGGAATGGTCTTCATTTGTGTACAGTTAGAGGTGTGTTTGGTGGCCAACTATGGAAACTGGGTTCAACGTAATTATTAAAACCCTGTTTTCAATGTCATATTCTGCTTTCCACGCATGTAAATGTCGGTCTTTTTCATCCATATAGCTATAACTCGATGTCTGTTTTCCGAATTTTACATTAGAAGTGAACTATAGACCGGCTTGTCTGTCTGCTTATTATCCACTGACACACTTCTATCAGAATCTGGGAATGCAGTGTGCAAATTTGTCAAAATAAAAACTGCTTCTTTCAGAAAGAAAGTTTGAAAAATTGGTTGGATAGGAAGAAAAAAAAGCACTTGCCTCCTTGAAGAAATATTATCCGACCCAATAAGAACACACACATGCTTAATTATTTGAATGAGCACAATTAATGAAAAATTAGGCAACATTTTGTTATTAAATTGTATCCGAATTTGTCTTCTAATTGGAAATCGTGGAGTACGAGGTCTGACGTGATTCGCTCTCCCCCCTCGCAATTCAATGAATTTACACGATGCGGGGTCCACGATTGCATTCAAGAATCAATGCTACGACAAGGTGTACTGCAGCACCTCTCTAGTGGCTGCAGGGGTCACGTGAACCAATGACACCAAATTTGAAACGGCCAGTTCATAACATGCATAATTTTGTGCATCTATCATGAGCATAAGAATCGATTTAATGTTTGGATCCCTTGCGCACTGCTACTGCATACGCAACGTCCATCAATCTTGCCACGGCGTCCCCTTGTCTCTCTGTGTCTGCACACCTGTGTACACCTGCCCAACATTTAAAACACCACCCATCTACAGCACAAAAAAGCACTCAATTTCGTCAGCGTCGTCCCTGATATCCGACATCGGTTTGTGTGTCAACGCGTGCAAGTGACAGCGAGCATCAAGATGCGCTATCTTTGAAAAAAAATTGCGCGACATCGTAACTAACATATGTTTGGATAATTGACTCATCACGGGCACAGAGTGTCTGCCGTCAGCCGAGCAATTAACGTCGCACGTTGGGACAAGCGGTCCTTCCCCATCGCGACGGGTCGACTGCTCCGCTGACGGAACGCAGCGGCGGGCGACTTTGTTGCATCTGCTTGTGCCCGGGGTGCTTGTGTGGGGCAGCGTCTTTAATTACACGCCTCCTGAGCACGCTGTGTGCCGAGCCAACGTGAAAAATTAGCGACCGTTCCGCCAGCAGCGGCGGCAGTAACAGCTGGAGGAGCGGAGAAAACTAAACCAAAATTAAACTCCTTGTATTGTCAACAAAATGCAAACTGCTCACTGGCAGTCTAAAAAGCCATGGAGTCATCCTTTTTTTCCCACCAACTCTGTGTAGTTTGAGTTGTGTCAATTAACTCAACGATGTTTTTTTTCCACAAGGCAGCTACACTTTTTGAACGAGACTACAATGATTTACATTAAGTGAGGTTTTGTGGGAAGTAAACGGTGACTGTCTCATTATTAGAATGCCCCCCCCTCCTGCATTCATCATCATCATCATGACCTTCATTATGGATATATGGAATTTCTACCATTATTGCCACCGATGAAGATAAGCGCAACTGCGCATTGAATGAAACATGTTTTGCACAATAACAATCTTTATCAAACGGACGCGCACGTGTTCTCGCTCCTTTTGCTGCCATTGTGTCACCAGTCTCGTCCATGGGCCATCATTCCATCGAGCGATGTGCACTGCCCAAGCATCTTACTTTTCGTCATCGTGGATAAGGCTGCGTCAGATTTACGCGTTCGTTCTTCGACCCCTGTTGTCTGATTTTTTTTGTCTGTAATTTCCAAGCGTGCATATCTCCATGCTTCTTTGCGTGCTCTTTCAGATTTTGTTCGATTTTCTTTGACAGTCTCCACGTTTTGAAGAGTTTGTACACTTCCAGGCAAGCCTCCTGCATTCGGAAATTTGGTCAAGTTCCTTGTGGTTTATTTTTAACACTCAAAAATCCGTACAGATAGGTCAGCCAACCCCTACTTGAGCCACTGCAAATATTTAATAGATATGCTTTACATGTATATAAGTTCATATGCATATGTCAAAAAAGATAGATTGCATGTACATCCACTTAGAATATGTAAAAAATAAAATGAGTACAATATTATTTTCTTGTAAAAGAGTGCTCGGCAAAATTACAATGATGAGCCACTGTTTATGACCTCGGACAGGTGTGCAAACATTAAGTTTCCCCAGCACAAATAGAGCACGTGGCATTTGATTTTTGACGCGGCTTACATGTGTGGATGCGGCGCTATTTTCAATTGCGTATTGAACGGCATTGATTCCCCTGGCCAGGCAAAATGTAATTAGTGAGGGGCGCGTAACGACCTCGTGTGCTGCAATTGCATCTCTTTAGTTTGTGTGCTACAGCACCATTCACGCCCAGCTCTGCCGTTTAGAGCCGAACCCAGACCGAAACGTTTTTTATTGCAGTTTGGTAACCCCCAAGTAGTGCCCATTTCATGAAATGGCTCCAGATGATAACAACTACAGCGCCTATTTAAAATGGGTATTGTATTGTTCATGTAGGAGACCTGAACAAGAGGATCTAAGTTTCGATTTAAAGCTTTCGTGACTGCAGGGATTCATCTTCTTGGTTCTTTCGGTAAAGTCACGTAAAAGGAATTAATAAAATAATAAAAATATAACATAATAAACGCTGTCATTCAGACGCTGTCTTTCCGACAGACCTGTTCTTCACCTGAGGACGGCTGCTTGCGTTGTGGCCGCAACGTCGTGAGAATTGTATTTTATTATGTTTTTATTTTATTTTATTATTTCCCTTCTACGTGACTTTACCGAAAGAACCAAGAAGAAGAGGATCTAAGTTTAAGTTTGGTGTCTCTCAATATCTGGTGGGCTTAATGTAATAATTTGTTATTATACAGCACCCCACTGTAAGCGCATCTCCAGGTCATGTATATTGTAACCTTGATAACAAACAATGCAAACACAAGAATAAAATAAATGTAACAATGAACATGAAAACAAGACTTTGGCAGATTGAGCAGCAGTGCAGCCCATGCTATTTCAACCACTGCAACCCCATGCTGATGGTGATTGTACTCTGGGGTCTAATGATTAAATTATGCAACTATACATTTTGTGCATTCTGGTATTATTGAACCAATGCCAACAAAATCTTGGGTTCAAGTCCTGGTGCTAGGTGACCCCCTAAACCTTTTGTGCATTCCGTAGTTGAACATTTTTCCATACAGCTGCTTTCAGAATTTGTCTCCCGTCGTTAGGTGACGTTATAATTTTCACCGCACAACCGGTGCTTGCCTGAGCGTTTACGTCTGCCCTGGCCTACCTCTCCTGTGTGTGCCATAGTGCGGGTCGTGGTTGCATTTGTGCATTCTTAAGGGGAGCAGTAGTGTAGCGGTTAGCGTGCCGCGCTACGAACCCAGCGATACGAGTTCGATTCCCGCTCGCGGCTAACACCAGTTACGATTATCTGAACCAGTCCTGGGCCTCCCGTGGGTCAAGGAGTACCTGGTGGGGTGCTAAAAATACAAAGGCGGCCATGCATGGTACTGGTCACCCACTCGTCTGTCGTGCCGGCCTTCATAGGTGCTCGCTAACAGCACTTACACCTAAAAAGTTTGCTCGGGCTATACGGGAAATTTTTGTCTTTGTTGTCTCTGCCGAGCACAGGAAAGAGGAGCAGCTCAGGACGAGTCAGGGCAAGGAGACGCTGTTGTGTATGCCACCTCTGTCGGAGGAGGTGGCCGCCTTGCTGGGTCCGGAGAAGCCCGACTACAGCGCGCTTCTCGCTGACCTTCCACGCACCACCGACACTGTGGAAATTGTGGTGCGTATGGCACGTGGTGTCGTCTCTCTTTTGCCCTGAGCCCTGTGCACTACTAATTCACCATCTAAATTTACATCAATACTCACTTGCCTCTGCTGTCTTCCCATCGATTTGCTCGTCAGCTGTAAACTTAATCTTGTTTGTTATTGTAGGTCCTTTCCCGACCTGCTACGCTTATGTTAATAGCTTGTGTTGCAGAATGGAACCCATTACCTTTTATATAATTATATTATCTTCTTTATTTTAAAAAAGCATTTTGGCCTTTGATTATAGGTGTATGCTCATGTTGCTAGGAAGTTATTGGCAATACAGGGAAGCAGCTTGGAAATTTGAAATAATGCTTGGTAATAAAGCATTGTAGTTCTAATCAAGTACGAGGAGGTTGTGATGGATTCAAAATGTTCAAAATTGAAAAGGACACGTTACCGAGGCGGGATTTGGAGTGGCACCCAGAAGTTGGTAACTTAGTGGAAGACCTCGGGTCATATTGTGGGATACGATAAAAATACCTTAGAAGGCTGAATTATTTAGCAGAAATAAAGTGATAGCGAGGAGCGGTGACATGAAATGGCATTGTCCATGATGACCTCTGAACATTTGTTGCTTTCTGATCTGCAAATGTGTTCATATCTCTCAACCTCCCAGTGTATACACTGGGGAAGGCCTCTCACTCTCTCGTGCTGTTCCAACGGCCTCGAATAATCTTACCCTTATTGTGCCTTCATTACGCTGGGATTAATAAAATGAGTACCAGTGTGGTAGGTCAGCAGCGGTTGAAGTGCAGGGTAATCAAGTCGCCGCCATGTGAATGTGGAATTTCTACCACTGGCTCAGGATCGCCAGTGGGGATGAACACTGCCGAATGCACATGCAAGAAAGGAAACAATTTAAATTGACTAGCACGGCACCCTAAAGACCACCGAATACAATTAGTTCTGTCCTATTTTCACTTACCCTCACCCTGTCACCTTCCCCGCCACCTCTTGCTCATTTGTAATGATACATTTTTGTACGGATGTGCATACACATCCACTTGTGTCTCCCTGTCCCCGACTGTAAATTACAATTGCTCACCTGTCAGGATTCTGCACAGCGTCTAGAGATGTGGCTGTGTTTTGATGCCGCTGTACGGAACTAAATTGGCAGGGTGCCCATTTGCACCTTGTCTAAAAGTCACAAATTCGCACCCTGTCTAAAAGCCATAAGTAAAACGCATCACTTTTTGAAAGCGCCACTGGCTTTTGTGAATTGTTGCATGAGTCCATATGGTTGTGTCTTCGGTCTACATTGCATTGCGAACCGTCATTTTAAAAAAAAATGTATACATACATCCTGTGTACATTGAAAATTGCTGCATATCCCGTTGGTGCCATCAGTCAAGACTTAAGGCAAAGTGATATTCTGGATAGTTCCTACGAGCAGAGTGTCATGTGTCAGAAGTGAAATACTCCCAGAATAATATACCCCAGAAACAGTGTCTCAAAAGCACTCTGAATAAAACCACAAGTCTGCGCTCCTACATGATGTGTTGGAAGTGGTCAACCACGTATCTTGTCATATACCTCCCTGTCAGTCCGCTCTTAGATGAATGGGCTCCCCATATCTGTTACGAGGTTTGTTAGACGATGGGTTGGTGAAGGGGGGCGATGGTCCAGGACCTGATTAAATGGCGCTTTTGCCACGGATGTTAAGCTGTGGCTGGGAATTGAGCTCGGCTCACCGAATCGTTAGCACGACGCGCTGCTACCCTCTGCATCACCGCTCCGCCAATGGGATGCGTCGGTGTTTTTTTGTGTGTTCAAGCTTCTGCTCGAAGCGAAGCTTTCCAAGGCAATTGCTATCCTCGACAAATGGCTGAATATTGACAAATATCTAATTATTTAAAACTTATTTTTCAAGGTTAATTGTGAGTGTGTTGCTTTTTTTTCTTAACACTTTTAAGAAAATCGCCCACACACATATTTCATTGCTACACATTTTAAAGGCTGCATACCTATCTGTTACACGTCGATTTTTGTATAGATGAACACGGTTGGTTATGTATGGTGCAAAAGAAGTTCAGCATCCATGCATACACACACATAACGCATGCACAAAAGTGTCCAGTTAATGGAATAGCATATGCTAATAATTAACTGCCAGGTTCCAATGTACCTGACTTTTCTCATCTATATGCTTATTTTTAAATGGTATCAATATTGCTACCTGGGAAAAACAGAATCATATGATTCGGACAGATTCCTCATTCAGACATTAAATAAAGGTTTTTGCCCACGTCCGAGCTGTGAGCTGTAACAACAAACGGCCAATGCAGACTCTTTTTGTGTCTAGTAAGACTTACAGTGCAATGTACAGCTCGCTGTGATCATCCACATCCAGTCAGGTGGCACAGTGGTTAAGGCATTTGGCTCACAATCGTAAGCTTGCGCGATGAAATTCCAGCTGGGTGCGACTACATATTTTCTCTCGCAGGTCAAGTAATGACGACCACTGTGCAAGAAGTCAGCAGTGGTTGTCCTTTAAAAAACATGCCCCCCCCCTCCCCCGATCACGTGTCATGTGAATGTGGAATTTCTACTGCTGCCTTGGGGCTGCCAATGGAGATGAGAAGCAGTCGGCCACTCGCTTGTGCCGCTGTGAGTCTTGTGGTCAATTGTGCCGAACCACCAGCATCAAACACGTCTGTCGATATCTCTAAATGCCCTACTCAACTGACATGCAATTTCTAACCGGGGGCTGGGAAGAGAGGGAGCCACGGAGATGAATGCGTACCCATGACGCTGGTGCCAATCCCGCGTTTGCATGCGTGCCACACTTTCAGCTCGACCATCTGCAGGAAGCGGCGAGGCTTCTCACGAGCACGGTCACCGAGACCGAGCGTGTCATCGAGAAGGAGGAGACGGTGATGAGTGAGTACTTTTTTTTGTTACAACAGACTTATTGCCACTTATTGCATGAGATCGGCTGCTCATTTTCTTTCGCATCCACTGCCTTTATTTCTCGTTTCGCCGCAACCTCCCATCTCGCTCTCGGTCTTTCTGCCGTGCACCCGTGGCATCTCCACAGTCCTTCTAGACTATGGGTTTCCATGTGAGTCTGTGGGTCTCTAATCTCCACAGCCCTTCTAGTTGCATCTTCTTTGTCTCTTCTCAACAGGTGCCCAAACCATCTCACCTCCCTCACTTCTCGAGAATATCCAAATTCTGCATTACCCCTCTTTTCCCTTTGAGATATTCCGAACATCCTTCTCACATTCTCATCTCTGTCCTCTCAAGCACTCTCTTTTCGGTTTCCCATCTTGCTTAGCAACTAACGTCTTCGCACCATGTAATAGAGCTTGTCGCATCACTCCTCTATAGATGGCGCTAAGCTTGAGAGAAGAGGACCTTTCCTTACCTGAGGTTGTGGCCAACTTTGGTTTGTGTGGTGTTTTTTTTAATAAGCGGTCTGTTGCTTGTTGTGGCAGATGCCTGGAATCCAGAGACGATATCGTTTAAAGTTGTCTCATATGGGTGAGATACCCATTTGCATTGAGGTGGTACAGCAAGAAGACCACTGACCCATATGCGCAGGTTCTAAGTGTTTCTTGTGGTGTTCCTGTGTATTCCTGTAGGATGCAGTGTGCCAAGTAGGTTATCAAACTCAACGCTGCTTTTGACTAGCCATCGAACAAAGATGGTCACTACATCGTGCGCTTTCAGATGCGTTTCTGTGGCCGTCTGGAACAATTTTCCTTCCGATATTATGAAGCCACTGGAGCTGTGCACTTTGTGATCGATATTGAAAACGAATTTCTTTAGAACTGCTTTTTGTGTTTAGTTTGTCCTTCCCCTGGAACTCCGATTAGCATGGTTGGCTATGCACGGTGCGAAATAAGTTATACATACATACAAACTGCAAGGATATTTAATGGTATCCCTTGTGATGCATCTATTTTCTCTAGTCGCCCTGGTTTCCTGTCAACACATAGTCGTAATGCATTGTGGGTTGTAAATTAACAACTTACCAATGCAGCTCATTACACCACGGATTCGGATATACCGCGGCTCAAGTCATCCACCGAAAAAATACATAATAAATAACCTAAATTCATATAATTTGTTCATTTTAATCAACAAGATCAGTGCATCCTCCTAGGTGTTTGGTAGCCGATCCACCCCCTCGTCCACTTCCTGCCCCTCCCCACACCATTGGTCACAGAGCATTTTGGTGCCAGACAGCCATCAGCCCCCATCCGCTGGCCCTCTCAATTCGCAGATACTCGGATATATATGCACAAATGTTAGACAGAAACCTTGCTCACTTAAAACAGACTATTGTCTATCTCTGAATTTATTTTTCAAAGAGGAATCGGCCAAATATTTCCAACAAGGACACGCCAGGAATTTTTCTGACTCTGTGAAGCTTTTATCGGCACACTCTAAAGCATTCTGTTACCACTGCTGTTGGGATAATTTTTCCGCCTTTTTAGTTTTCGAAAATGTATTTGCCAAATTGGCCCTTGCCAAACTGAACGTGGCCAGTAAACGTTACACATTTAGTCTTGCAGGGTTGTGTAAAAATCAAATAAACAACCGGGGTTTTTTTTTTTTACATAACGTAGCCTTTGTTGACATGTTTACGTAATGGCTCATGCGTTTAATGGAGGGTTTGTGCTCAATTATTTTCCCAAAAAATGTTGTAGCTTAAAAAAAAAGCATAATTTCCGTAACAATTTGTCCAAATAGTTTTGGCAACAGTGGATTGAGTCAGCACACCTGTAGTCTCACCCCGAGGCATGGCAGGTGTTTCAAATTCTGTGTTAAAAACACGTCCGTAATTTATTACTGAAAGTTGAGAGAAGTGCCGAAGAAATGTGTGTTTGTTATCGTTTGTGGGTGTGCGTGGGTGTGTGTGTTTTTGTAATGCGTGTTCCTACACTTTTTGTGCTTTGACATATCTTGTTGATTACAGAAATTGCAGTAAAATTTGTGCAAGTGTTGATGACAAAACATGAAAAGTGTAATGAGAAATGAAAATAAACAAACTTGATATTATGCAATCGGGATGTTAAAAATTAATAGAAATTATTACACCCATATAATTAGTAAAGAGAGCGTAAGTGGATATTGAGGTTGGAAAGTGTATTTATTGTTTACTGTAAAATTAACACAAGTGGATTATTACCCTACAAAGATAGTTGACCTTTAATGTATCAAGTCAGGGCTTATTGACAAAAGTCTTTTGTTCAGAGAAGACTTGCTTTCTGTACGACTATCAACAGGCCGATATGCGGACCTAGAGGTGGTTATTGCACGTCCATAATATTGTCTTTCGGATTCGCCAAACCTGTCTCCAGGATGGTACATTGTAAAATACATTTTCATATGGAGAGACTGGTCCCCACCATGGGAATGTGGAATTTCCACCACTGGCTCAGGACCATCCAGAGAGATGAATGCTCTCCCATGACTCCTTTGAATCAGGAGATACTTAGACTTTTTTGTCTTATGGTCGTGATACGGCTCAGTGGTAGCACATTCGATGCTTGTGGTTCGAAACCAGCAGGCCCTTCCAGGTAAATAGTGCAAGTGTATTTCCATCAAATTGACGGCATCTGCTTCACACTGAACTATAATCTATCCAGTGACGTCCTTCGAGGAAGAGTAGGCCATTGTGAGCCAGGGTCATGGTCTAAAATACGAGAAAATTACTTGCAAATGACTTAATGGGGAACCCCACAGCAACCATCAGCTGCTGCTACAACTTGGCAGGACGTTCCTGAAAAATTAGTTGAGACCCGGCGAGGCTTTCCTATGTAAAGGAGCGTACTGATAAAACTATATGTGTGTAAGTCACGTTTCGTGGGTGGGCACTTTAAACACAATTTGCCATTCCAGATGCTGACGGAGAGGTGTTGTCATTGCTTGCGGTGTTGTCATTGCTTGCGGTGTAGGAGACTGCGCTTTCCATTCTTACCTGCCAATGTTTTGGCTCTCCGGGGCACCGTTGTCACAGCGTCGGCCCCAACCACAGCTCGTTAGTGCTCGCTAAACAGGCCGGCCGGCCTGCCCGCCCCGGCCCGTGTTTGCTGCGGGGCTGACATAGGCACCTCTTTCTTTCCTCCCTCGCTCTCTTTCTCCATTGCCGGGAAGTCGCGCCCGCCTGCCGTTCGCCGCAGGTGGCATGGGCAGATTCGAGCTGTCAGTTAACACAACATCAGCCCCGGGTCGTCCCCTCGGCTTGCACACTCAATTACACACACTCGCTCAGCGCTGACTTCCTAGCGCTCTGCGTGCGTTCCTCCCGCCTTCCCATCACCCCTTGTCTCTCTCACCTCTCTTCCTCTTCTCACTCCGTGTCTGCCGTGTGTGTGTATGTGTCTTTGTCTCCGCGCAGTTTCATTGTTACCGTTTTTAGTTTTGTTATATTTCACAGCATGTGGTATAGGTGAAGATTTACCCCTGCAGCCATCGTTGTAGGTCACAATGTGGCTTTTGGTGTATTCATATCCGTAATGCATGAGTATTATTGTAAAAAAAAAAAGTGTTTGTATTGCCAATGCAAGAATCATGAACAAAAGTTTGGCAAAGTCACTGAACATTCATCCATCTCATCTATTGACTGGGTTAATGGAGATGACTGCACTGTAGTTTTATTTCTTGTCGGCATTTCTCATGTGAATGGAATTGGTCCTTATGTCGTGGTGGCAACACGCAGTTGTAATCCAACGTCTTGATGGAGGGAGGAGAGGAGTGGAGGGTTGGATAATCGTGCAGGGATGGAGATATAAGGTGCATGACATGCATCTCTTAAGGGAAATCGGTGTCTCTAATGGGTAGTAGAGCAAGTAGGTGTGCACCATCTGTGCGGAATTGTGAGCATTCTCCCCTTGTAAGCGTACATTTGTCCAGGTACTCCAGATTCCTATAAGAAGAAAATTGGCTAAACAATTGAAGCTTGACCCTCCTGAAAACATGTCCTTAGCCTTTCGTGAGAGACATTTCTGGATAAATATTGATTATTATTTATACGTTTGTTTTAGTAATTGAACCTGCAAATTGGCAGAAATGTATCTCTTGTGATGTGTATATGTTGAACTCGTTCGCACCGTACGTAGCCAACCGTGCTAATCGGAGGTGCGGGGGAAGGACAATAAACTAAACACAAAAAGCAGTTCTAAAGTAATGTATTGAAAAGCAATGGACAAGGTTTAGTTAATTCATTTATATGTTCAAGTTTACAAATGATTATTCTTACAAGAAGATATATTTTTACTCTTAATGAATGAAAGTTAAATAGTTCATGTTAACATTCTCTGTAAGGTTGAAGGTGTCTTTAAATCTTCTCAACATGCCTGGCACAAATTAATAAAATTGTAATTTAAAAAAACACATACTATAATAAACATCTAATTACCAATGTGGAAAATGTCAGGTCATTATAGAAAGTTGTATAATTATACGGTCCACGGGGGCAGATGTTTTTTATGTTGTTATGGAAGTCATTTAAATACGATCACTTAAAACTAAACGCGATGTTACACGACATTCCTGCACCTTTCCCTCGACGAATTGTAAAGTACGCGCGTATAGTACACACCGAAACCTCGAATGTTGAAGCGATTTTTTTTCTCCTCCCCTTGTGTAATGGGATGTTCTCGGAGTTTTGTGCGTTTCTCCCCGTGAGCTGTACAAGTCATTAGCAGCAGCTATTAGCTGCAGAAACCGCCTCGTGGCAGCCGAGAGAGGGAGCCAAAGAAAGTTGCGTCTGCAACTCTTCATTGCCACAAATTGCTCTTCATAACGCTTAATAGTCACCGTGCAGTAAATGTGTAAATATCTGCAAGCGTGAGCGGCGTTTCCAACAGAAGTACAATCCCACGATTGTGCTTTTGATGCCAGCTTATTAAACAATTTGGCAACGGCGC